GTTTAATACCTCCAACGAAACTTTCCGCGTGTGCTACTAACCTCGAAACTACTGTCACTGGCGTCTCTTTCACTGAATTTTCTTGCTTTTGTGCAACGTAAACGCACTACATAAACCTAAATACGATAAAAATGTAACGCTTTCGTTAACAGATTACGGTAATTATGCAAGCAACCTGAAAGAGGAATGTTAACTTTAAAATACGATTTCCTTTTAGTAGATAATGTATTAAAATGTATCTTATTTGTTTCACATTTAAAATTGCAATTAAAATTATAAATATTTAAATGAGGTATACAAAGAGATTCATATAATGAACAGTTTCTTAAACACATTAAATAGAATTATAATTTAAGATTAAATAAATAGAATTACAAATTGTAATAAAAATAATAGGTATTTAAGTGAAGTACACTGACAGATTCATATAATGAACAGTTTCTTAAATATATTAAATAGAATTATAATTTAGAATTAAATAAATAGAATTAAAAATCGTAATAAAAATAACAAGTATTTAAGTGAGGTACACTGACAGATTCATTTAATGAACAGATTCTTAAATACATTAAATAGAATTATAATATAGGTTTAAATAAATAGAATTACAAATTGTAATAAAAATAACAAGTATTTAAGTGAGGTACATTGATAGATTCACTTAATGAACAGATTCTTAAATACATTAAATAGAATTATAATATAGGATTGAATAAATAAAATTATAGATTGCAATAAAAATAACAGGTATTTAAGTGAGGTACACTAATAGATTCATATAATGAACAGTTTCTTAAATACATTAAAAAGAATTATAATATAGGTTTAAATAAATAGAATTACAAATTGTAATAAAAATAACAAGTATTTAAGTGAGGTACACTGACAGATTCATTTAATGAACAGTTTCTTAAATACATTAAATAGAATTATAATATAGAATTACAATAAAAAACATAAATATTTAAACAAGATACACTAACAGTGTAGACTAAAATGTAAAAAATTACAATAAAAAACATAAATATTTAAACAAGATACACTAACAGTGTAGACTAAAATGTAAAATATACTTTTTCTTAAATACGTTAAATAGAATAAATTACAATGAAAATTATAGTATTTAAATAAATACACTAACAGATTCATATAATGAATATTCTTTTAAATAGGCGAACAGTGTACGTGCTTCCACCATTTTGATTTTCATAAAATAATCAAATAAATTTTTTGTACTAAACTGTTTTATATTTTTTCCTTTCATTGCAATTTTATTTCTTTAAACACTAAAGATAAAGAGTTCGTGATTTTCAAGTTTCTATTGCAGATACTTTATGCATTTTCTAAACCTTTAATATTATTACATTATTATTATAACTTTAATATTGTTCAATTATGTCAGAAGAAAATTGTCACTTTAAACATATGTTTTCATAGCTGAAATTATCCATTTACGCTTCAAATATAAATACATACAATTTCAGAAAATATATTAAACAACAAAGTTCTAAAAGTTAATACTGATATTATGATACACTGTACAATCTTACGATAAATTAATAATATATAATATTCCATGATGCGTAACAACTCAATCTGTTATAAACTCATTTCACAAAATTATTCCCAACCAAAAACATTTCAAGGAAAAAGGAAAAGACCGAGTTGTAAAATGTAACCAAGAATTTCTAATAAAATTCTTGTACGATACGAATATTAAGATAAACGCTATCGAATAACGTCAAACGTGAATAATTTATGTGATAATAATTTGTCTGGCACTGTGTTTATACAATATCGTACACGGAACAAAATTTTACAAGAACATCATACAAGTGAAGCGTAATATCGTTTACACGAGTCCACGTTGCTTTCTCTTTTTCAGAAATGCATCATTAATAACGTGGATAGTATTGAGGTAGTAGCATTATAGTCTTACTATTCCGTTAGATGAATAACATTAAACTATTGGAGCATCGTTTTGCTCGATGATTAGTCGGCGAAATACCAGTTTACGATCAAAGCTTGGTGAACGCATGTACTGGTTTTTGCATCGTCGCCTCGAACTAGAAAAGAAAGCTGTTCATCAAGTGAGCACATGAACGGAATGCGTGCATCATTCCTGATTTTTATTCATGCGAATTCTGTAGGAAAACATAAACAAGGATATATCATGTTAGAAAACATTGAATAATTTTTTACTTTTTATAAATATATGAGTTGAATGTTAATGCGTATATTCAGAATTTTGGTATTCTTATGTTATGTAGGATGATGTTGGACACCATTATTTTGATTTGTATTAAGAACAGAGTGAATTTGTAGAATTGTATATGTGAAAATTCAAATATTTTACAAATTAAAAAATTTCCAAATTACACATTCTCTTATTTAATAATTCAAAAATTTTATATTTCGTTATTTAAATATTACTAAATTCCCACTTTTTTGAACTTTCAAATTCTTAAATCCACAAATGCTTTAATTTCAAAAGTGCAAAATTCTCATCTCTCCGAATTTCCAAACTCTCAAATTTCCAAATTTTCAAATTCCCAAATTCCCAAATTCCCAAATTCCCAAATTCCCAAATTTCCAAATTTCCAAATTCCTAAATTCTCAAATTCCCAACTTCCCAAATTCCCAAATTCCCAACTTCCCAAATCCCCAAATTC